TGGTGGGCGCCAGGCAGTGCGGCGCCTAACGATAGCCGTCTCGGACAGGGACGCTGGCTCATCCGTATCATCATCCTTTGTGGCCGTTATGCCGGTCTCAGAGCAAGTCTCAGCAGTGAAATTGGAGCCCAGAGGTGTTCGTTCGTTCGTCCCTCCTCCCCTGCCTCCTCCTCCTCAACGTAGCGCGCGAGCTGTAAGTATGCCCTCGGAGGCCTCCGAATCTAGGAGCGAGGAGGAGGAGGAGGAGGAGGAGGAGGAGGAGGAGGAGGAGGATCCTCCGATTGCTTCCCATCCACTGTCCCGGGCTGCGCAGCGGCTTCAGAGGCCTCCAGGGCCTCCCAGGCTTCCCCGAGACTCCGCAGGGCCTCCACAGAGCTTTCCCATGGGCGCCCTGGACACTCCCAGCGCTTTCGCGGCTCCGCGGCACCAGTCCTCGGAAGGGGGCACAGAACAGCAACGGCACCCCGCCGCCGGGAGCCCGTCGGCGCGTGCCTCTCCTCCGTTTTTACCTAACAGCGAAGACTGATAGGTTTCTAGTAGGCTCAAAAGAGAGCATCTTGACTCCCCAGGAGGGTCTGGGCAGATGCCGGACGTGTGCTGGGGAGAATCCGCGGAAGTCGTTTTAAGCAAACAGTTACACACGTCGTGGTCTTCGAGGTCCCAGAATTCCATTCCTGGGCATGTTGTTGAATGCCCGGAGCCAACTGTAGGCCACTTCGTGGTCTTCGAATTCCCAGAACTCCATTCCTGGGCATGATTTTGAATGCTCGGAGCAAACTGTAGGCCACTTCGTGGTCTTCGAGTTCGCAGAATTCCACTCCTGGGCATGATTTTGAATGCCCCCCGGAGCCAACTGTAGGCCACTTCGTGGTCTTCGAATTCCCAAAACTCCATTCTTGGGCATGATTTCGAATGCTCGGAGCCAACTGTAGGCCACTTCGTGGTCTTCGAGGTCCCAGAATTCCATTCCTGGGCATGATTTTGCATGCCCAGAGCCAACTGTAGGCCACTTCGTGTTCTTCGAGTTCCCAGAACTCTTCTCCTGGGCATGATTTTGAATGCTCGGAGCCAACTGTAGGCCACTTCGTGGTCTTCGAGTTCACAGAATTCCATTCCTGGGCATGATTTTGAACGCCCGGAGCAAACTGTAGGCCACTTCGTGTTCTTCGAGTTCCCAGAATTCCATTCCTGGGCATGATGTTGAATGCTCGGAGCAAACTGTAGGCCACTTCGTGTTCTTCGAGTTCCCAGAACTCCATTCCCGGGCCACATTTTGAATGCTGAGGCAGGCTGAGGCTGAGGCTGAGGCAGGCTGAGGCTGAGGCAGGCTGAGGCTGAGGCCGAGGCTGAAGGCAGACTGAGGCTGAGGCTGAAGCAGGCTGAGGCTGAGGCTGAGGCAGGCTGAGGCTGAGGCTGAGGCAGGCTGATGCTGAGGCAGGCTGAGGCTGAGGCTGAGGCTGAGGCTGAGGCTGCAGGCTGAGGCTGAGGCTGAGGCTGAGGAGGCTGAGGCTGAGGCTGAGGCTGAGGCTGAGGCTGAGGCTGAGGCTGAGGCTGAAGGCTGAGGCTGAGGCAGGCTGAGGCTGAGGCTGAGGCTGCAGGCTGAGGCTGAGGCAGGCTGAGGGCTGAGGCTGAGGCTGAAGGCAGACTGAGGCTGAGGCTGCAGGCTGAGGCTGAGGCAGGCTGAGGCTGAGGCTGAGGCAGGCTGATGCTGAGGCAGGCTGAGGCTGAGGCTGAGGCTGATGAGGCTGAGGCTGAGGCTGAGGCTGAGGCTGAGGCTGAGGCTGAGGCTGAGGCTGAGGCTGAGGCTGAGGCAGGCTGAGGCTGAGGCCGAGGCCGACGGCAGACTGAGGCTGAGGCTGAAGCAGGCTGAGGCTGAGGCAGAGGCAGGCTGAGGCTGAGGCTGAGGCAGGCTGATGCTGAGGCAGGCTGAGGCTGAGGCTGAGGCTGATGCAGGGTGAAGCTGAGGCAGGCTGAGGCTGAGGCCGAGGCTGCAGGCAGACTGATGCTGAGGCTGATGCAGGCTGAGGCTGAGGCTGAGGCAGGCTGAGGCTGAGGCTGGCTGAGGCTGAGGGCTGAGGCAGGCTGAGGCTGAGGCTGTGACTGCGTCTGCCGTTGCCACTGCGAGAACAGCAGAATACTACAACTGGATTCTCATCTGAATCTTAAGGGGAAGGATTCCAGATATGCTCCTACATATCGCTGTTAGGTTGCTTTGCTGGGATAATTTTCTTCTACTCCGAGCGCCTGGCGGTTCGCTTCCCCGCGGCGGCGCCCCATTGATATCGTCTTTGCCCCCCCCCCAGGCGCCGCCAGCGCGCGGCGGCGGGGGCCCCCCGGCCTCCCCCGGGGGCCTCCCGGGAGTTCTCTGGGAGTCGCCGCACCACGTCGTGGGCTGTGCGGCACTGCCCGCCTCAGCGACGCCAGCGCTTCGCGACCCGGGGTCGCATCCACCCCCGCCTGAAAGCTCCGCTTTCCATGGAGGCATCCTTCCCCAAGACTGGTCCCAAGCGGCTGCTGGAATTGCTACGAAACCGTGGGGGGCTGATCATCATGGGAGGAGGAAGGAGGAGGAGGAGGAGGAGGAGGAGGAGGAGGAGGAGGCGGAGGAGGAGGAGGAGTGTGCGGCAGCGGCGGCGGCGGCGGCGGCGACGACGACGGCGACGACGACGACGACGACGACGGCGGCGGCGGCGGCGGCGACGACGGCGGCGGCGGCGGTGGCGGCTACGGCTGCGGCGGCCGCGGTAGCGGTGATGAGTACGATTGCCACGGCGGCGGAGGTGCACCACCCTGACCCCATTGCCAGCCTCATTCCCCCCGCGCTGGCCCCTGGAGACGCATGTCTCTCGGCACTGGCCTGAGGTTATCTCCGAGAGAGAGAGAGAGAGGCGAGCGGACCAGGGGCTTTGAGGACTAAGAAATTGTCGTCGTTTCGCGACTTCCCATTTACATTCCTATTTCCACTTGCATGCAGCAGAATATGTGCACGAACGATATGCACAGTGCCTGTGCCCGTGCGCTCGGCGACTCGACGGCCGACAGGCTCTTCTCCGCCCCGCTCTGCGGCGCAGCTCTGCTATGAGAGGTCCCCACACAGCAGTTGCTGAGCGCAACGATGCTTGAAAGCATAGCTCCCCCGCATAGTGCAACGAGGTTTCATGCGAGGCGCATATGCAGACTCTTGCCTGGAGGACTACCGCCAGAGTGTGCACGAGCTTGCCTCTTGCTCGCCGAAGGTTAGGGGAGGTTTAACCCCCTGGGCCGCGTTCAAGGCACCCTGTGGTATTGCGCCTGCATTGCTTTTATTTTTTCAGGAGCGAAACAAGGATGTACACGTACGTACATCAATCCACGCTGGTTTCGAGAGCACACACTGCGCAGGCACTCGTATTCTGCAGCTGGTCTCGCGGATTGCAGGGCCGTGTTCGCGTACGTGGTTGGGCGCGTGCGCCCTTTGTGGGCTCCCTACTTATTCTTCTGGCAGGTAGAAGTTGCCACCCAGCAGCTGCGACCACAATTCAAGGCCGAGGGCCCCAATTTCGATGCTGAGCTGATCGCCATTACTAAGGGTATCCCATTTCGTTTCTGATCCTCCGCTTACGTAGATGCTTAAAGTCGGCGGGCTTGTTGACCTAACTTCATGTCTGGGTAAGAGTGAGGAAAACAGTCTCCCCCCAAAGGTGCTGCGGCGCGTGGGGGGCATCCTGCACCGCCTCACAGGAAAGCCGGCCGCCCCCCGCCGCCGTCGCGCTGCTGCCCAGCAGGAGGTGCTGCGGGGTTGGCTGGAGTCGCCAGCTCGACCGCGTGTTCCATCGCAGCCGTCCTCCTCCTCCTCCTTTTCCTCCTCCTCCTCCTCCTCCTCCTCCTCCTCCTTTTCCTCCTCCTCCTCCTCCTCCTCCTCCTCCGGCACGTGTGCCACTGGGATCCCTCCCCACGAAAACTGGCGGGTAGCCTCCCGTTCGTCACTCCAGGTGCTTTTTCGGGACCCTGGGGGGGAGAAAAAAGGTAGTCGTATGCCGCCCCAGCCTGCGCCACGGGGGAAGGGGTCTCGGGGCTGTGCCCGACTCGTCCTTGTGGCGGGCGGGGGCAGTCCAGGGCGTCAGTGCGCGGTTTTTCCTTCCGTGTTCCGTCCTTGGGTTGTGGTGTCTGCCACGTTTTGTTGCGACACCCTTGCGTGGCCCTCCCAGTACTCCGATGGGGCAAAGGTGGTGTCGCGGGTCCCCTTATGCGGGGGGCTTCATCGCAGGATCCCCGTCCATTCTTCCCACGGTCACGGTCCCCCGCCGTGGCGTGCGTGGGGGCGGGCTGTCCCCGAGGTAGTGGTGCCCCTCGGGTGGCTGATCGGGGCGGCACGCGAATAAGTTTGAATCGGGGGGCGCGCGTCTAAGAAGCAGGGGGCTCACAGAGGGGCGCCACACAGGCCATCTGCAACGTAGCGCTCGGTCATTTACTGCCTTCCAGTGGTAGCCACGATCTTTGTGCAGCGGCGAATCTGCATTGAAGCCAAAACTCGCGAGCCCCCCCGATAAAAAAGTGGTGGCCGCGGAGACCGCGCTAGAAGTGTTGATTGATTCCCGTGAGGCACCAGGGCCCCAGGACAATGATGAGTTCGATACCAATGCAAGAGTTCCGACCAGAAGTGGGACTCCACTTGCGACGTCCTCAGAACAAAATACTGGTCGCTTTCCATGGCGACCAGAGATTCTGCCATGCCACGGGAACGTAGCGATGTCAACCAGACCTCCCCACAAAAACAGATCTGGTCGCTGCGCATGTCGCGAAGCCTGCGATTTCGCCTGGGACTTCTTGAGAATCGAGTTGTCCTGGTCGCTCCTGAGTCGACGATCACCAGTTATTAATCCAGGTGGTTACAGCCGTGCAGAAATGGGGGGGGCATTAGTGGTCACACCATCGATGGCCCACGGGGCGCTCAGCGCGTCGGGCAGAGACGCCCGCTCCCGAGGCTGGCGAGGACGAGGCTGGACTTCCGCCGCCGCTCCGGCCCAAGACCGCGGCAAAGGCCGCTGGGGCAGCCGCGACCCCTCGCGCGGCGAGCAAGGACTCGGCCCCTGGGGGATGGCGGCGGCGTCGAGCTCCAGCGCCAGCGCCGGCCAGGAGCCCTCGCCCCTGGACCAGTTCAAGACGGGCTGGAAGGGCCTCCGCTCCAACCTCGCCAAGGTACCGGGGGCCTCCAAACGGTGTGGCGGTTACTTTTTGGCATCAGCGAGAGATGGTCGCCCCGTGGCTAAGGAAGAAAGAGGAGAGCAGAAGGGGAACGGAGGGCGGCGGCGGCGGCGGGCTCATCAGGGGCACGGGTCGGTTCAAATCTGCCATGCGGATGGAAGACAGCAGGCCACAAAACATTCACCCAAGTCCCTCGGGTGCGGTGAGAAGCGGGAAGGAAGAGGATAATGCAGCAGCAAAAGCAAGCAGTGCAGGCGCGGCCCCGCCGGCGCCCCCGCGCGACCGCGTGGTGAGTCAGCGAGGCTTCGGCGTCGCCGCTCGGTTTGGGGACCCTGGCCGTTCTCCGAGGAAGTCTCGGGCGACGGGGGCCTCCTAGGTCGTGGGGGGGTCCGAGGTCCGAGGTCACCACGCGGTCCGTCACCGCACGTTTCCGGGGGCCCCCGCCAAGGCGGCGGCAGGCGCGGCCGCGGCGGCCGGCGCAGGGCCCGAGGCCGAGCTGGAGGAGGGCCACGGGGCCGCCGGGGCGGCGGCGGAGAGCGGCGCGGGCGAGGGCGGTGCCGCGGGGGGGCAGAGGAGGCAGAGGTACCCAGACCGCTGCGTTTGCCCCGTGTGCTCCTTCCTGGGCCTCCCGAGGGGCCCTCGTCGCCACCGCCGGATTCGCCTCGACATCGTGGTCAGAAGCCACCCCGGGAGAGGTCCGGGGAGCAGCGGCCTTGGTGCCTTTTGGTTTCCCGAGGGAGCTCGTGGAAGTCCGTGCTGCGGGCGGCGAAGAAGCTGGTGTCGGAGAGCAGCTACGACTCGCTGAGGGAGGACGGCGCCACCGTGATAGGGAGGCCGCAGGACTCGGAGGCGAGCGAGGCGAGCGAGACCGCGCCTCTGGGGCACCCTGCGGCCTCGTCCTCCTCCACCTCATGGGCGAAGGTGGCTAGCCGCATGAAGGCGCAGGTCGCCGACGTCACCGAGGCCACCCTGAACGTGACGGATAAGGTGTACAAGAAGACGTCGGCGCTGCAAGAGGAAAAAGCAACGTAAACACACATTGTCGGAGCTCCGCGCAGATCTCTTGAGTTGGCGCTTGGCCTCCCTGTGGGCGCCTCCGGCGCCGCCCCTGGCGCACTCCGCGCGCCGGGGAGGGGGGTCCAGAGCCGACCCAAGAGACCCGCGCGGACCTCCAAAAGTGTATGTTTATGCAGTTGCTTGGTTCGTCTAGGCTTGATTCAGTCGGGCCTGTCCATCTACAGGGGAATAATTCAAAAAAACAGTCAAAAAATAGTCGGGGAACTATTGTTTGAGTATTTTCTTGAATCTGTGCGTGATAATGTTTTTGCATGTTTGATTTGTCGTCCACAATCCCCCTGTAGAAGGGGACATGCCCGACCTAACTGTAGGCGCTCGACATCGGCATCGACATAGGGGGGCACGCCAAGGACCTGACGAGGGGAGCCTCGTCCACCTTCAAGGGCCTGGCCGACAGCGCCAAGGAGACCCGGGAAGCGCTCGCCGAGAAGGGCAAGTCCGCTGTCGACAGGGCGAAGGACCTGCAGGGGGAAAAGCACACAGACACAACGAATCGTCGACTCCCAGGAAAACATTGGAAAATACGGGAAGTGTGTGTGGGGGGGGGGGGGCAAACGACAACCCAGGAGATATGGGAAAGTATGGGGGGATCCTGTTATCTGTGTGTGTGTGTGTGTGTGTGTGTGTGTGTGTGTGTGTGTGTGTGTGTGTGTGTGTGTGTGTGTGTGTGTGTGTGTGTGTGTGTGTGTGTGTGTGTGTGTGTGTGTGTGTGTGTGTGTGTGTGTGTGTGTGTGTGTGTGTGTGTGTGTGTGTGTGTGTGTGTGTGTGTGTGTGTGTGTGTGTGTGTGTGTGTGTGTGTGTGTGTGTGT